GCGGCTGCGACCCGCACGGGCCGGCAGGGCGGGCGCCGAGGGCCGCGGAGCGCGCGGGGCTGGTCACGGCCGGCTGCTGGCGCCTAATAAAACCTCCGCTGGGAGCTGGGCTGCGGCGAGCGCCGGAGACACGGACTGCGACCTTGCTGCCACCTCTGCCTCCTCCACCCCGGACACGGTGACACCACTGCACCGTCCTCCCCAGCCACTGCCCGGCCGGGAGAAACGATCCCGGGCATTAGGAGTGAGGAAGCAGGAAATGAAATGGGAAGGGCACCTTTTAAGGCAAAATCTCCGTTTCTCCACACCCCGAGGAACCCCAAAGGGTTCTTCCTATTGAATAGATGGGGAAACTGAGGGACGGGGAGGCGGGACCTACAGCACAGGAAGTGGAGGTGAAGAGGGGTAAAGCACATTCACAGGTAAGCACAACAGGTTTCTTGATTCACCTGCCACCAGAAATCCCGGGGGAGCCCTGGCTCTTTGCACAGGCTGGGAGGGACAAAGACTTGTCCAACCCATGGCTGCTTGTTCCTTCTGCAGCAGCTGCTGTCCCGAGTGCCCACACATGAAGAACTGTCCCACACTCAGGGCAGATGGGGCGGGGGTGGGCACAGGCAACCAGACCTAGGATCATAAATACGCCCGGAGAGAGGGCACGCGCCAACTGTGCGGAAAGGCTGTCAAAGCAAGAGATAGACCTAATCCAGGCTGATGTGACTGCAACCCTGACAATGCGTGAAATTAAAGAGACGGGGTGGCAGCGGGGAGGAGGGAAGGCCTCCTGGAGGAGCTCCGCTTTAGAACACATGACAGCCCTGGACAGCCAGGGCCCTGGGTGAGCTGTATGTTGAGGAGCTGTGCACCCTCATTTTCTGCAGTCTGACCACAAGCAGTCCTCCTCTCCCTAGCTCCAACCTTCACACACAAACGAGAAGCTCCCTTCCCTGAACCAGGGGCTCCAGGAGTTGCAATGGACCCTAAAGTTCACGTGTGACCCTCTCTAAAAGTAAAAAGCCCCAGGGAAGAACGTCTCCAGTTTTAATGGGCATGGGAATCATAGAGGCGTTGGGGGGGGAGGGGACACGATGACAAATTCCTCTGCCCCACCCCTAAAATTTTCATTCACTAAGTCTAGGATGGGGCTGGGAGTCTGTATCGTGCGCTGAAGCTGTCATTTGGGAAGCACAGATCTTTGCATCTTTTCATCAGTTACCATTTCCTCAAAAAGGCCTGTCATTATCATCTACCAAAAGTAGCCCCACCTCCACCCCAATCACTTTCTATCCCATTACCCCATTTCATTCCCTCAGAGCACTGTCACTATCTAATACGATCTCATTAACTTATTGACTATGTCCCCTACTAAGACTAGAAGTTCCATGAGGACAGGGACCTTGGCTTTGGACATCTCTGTATCCCATGCCCAGCACTTTGCCTGCCACGTAATATTTCTATACGTATTTGTTGAATGAGTGAACAAACCCAACCCTGATCTTTTTTAAAACAGAGGTGGTATTTGGAGCTACCACCCTGTCCAATTCATGACTGGGAATTTTATATTTTTTTTTTATTAAAGATGACCGGTAAGGGGATCTCAACCCTTGACTTGGTGTTGTCAGCACCATGCTCTCCCAAGTGAGCTAACCGGCCAGCCCTATATAGGGATCCGAACCCATGGCCTTGGTGTTATCAGCACCACACTCTCCTGAGTGAGCCACGGGCCGGCCCATGACTGGGAATTTTAGAAGCCATAGTTCTCCCCACTCTCCTGCCAGTCTCTTCCTGGGCCCTCCCCTAAAATGGCTCTCCAGCACTCCTTGGAGAAGCAGCCTGCACCCAGTGACACCATGCCTATGAAGATACTCATCAACCTGAGATCATGGCTCCAGGGTAAGGTACAGTGGGAAGGTGGACTTTCAGTCTCGCCAGTCTCCAAATTTTATCTGGCCTGGAGAAAAGCTTCAGAGGCTGGAAAGCATCCCTCCCATAGAGTCCCCCTCCCCAACCCTTGAGCAAGCAACACACAGGACAGTGCCCTGTTGAGCATCTCCACTCCTCAAAGGGAGTTCCAGGTTTTGTGGCCAGGGCCTGTTCTGTGGAGGGATCCCCAAGGGACCAGGGCTTTCATTTTGCAGAGGCTGGGGTAACTGAGGCCCCAGGTCACACAGCAGAGCCTATAACTAGCCCCAGTCCAGGGATCCCTCCCACTCTTGATTAGCCAAACCTTTACTGAGTGTCTACTGTGTGCTGCCGGAGAAGCTGAAGTGCCAGGCCCCTACCCTCTACCCTGTCACAACTGTCACTCTGGCTTTAGAGAGGGGGCCCTGCCCTTATTTGCCCTCCAGTGTAGACAGCCCCTCCTGAACTCCCCGCAGCAGAGCCAAGACCAGGCTGCAATTTCTACAGAACTATCCCAAGCTTTAGAGACCACATGAAGGGGATCCAGAGAGGAAAGGGCTGCTCTCAGGACTAGGGCTGGGACCAGACCCAGAGGCAGACCCCTCCATGTGAGGTCGCTTACAGCACAGCTGCTTAGACTAGATCCAGACCCATTAGTGAGTCATGGACATCAATTTACTAGATTACAACCAGCATATATGTATATAAAGAAAATATCAGTGTGTTTAAGGAAGTAAGGGTAGGTATTGTTTTGTACAACTTTAGTTTCAATATAAGTGTGTCTGTATGACATTATGATGTAGAATATATTTCCCCCTGCGGGTCACAGTCAAAATAATGTGAAAAATACAAGCTGCTACCTAAGGTACCTGCATTCTATGCCCACATGGCTGGGACCAACTCACCACTCCCACAAGTATAGGCCTAACATCCATTATGCCCAAAGGGGAGAAGAGGGCTTTGCTTTTTAGATGTGCATTATTAGAAGTCCAAGTCAGGGACGTTTCTAAATCCAGCATGACTTCTCCATTTGAGAGAAACTGCCTGCTAGATTTCTAGATTCTACCCATCTCAACAGTCGCAGAGCCCCAAGGTACCCTATTAAAATGGTCTCCACCACCATTATCACAGTGAATACTTATCAGCACTTACTACTTGCTAAGCCCTGTGCTAAACGCTTTACACGTCTGGACTGATTTAATCGTCACAACCCTACACGGTTGATACTATTATCATCTTTACTTTTCCCTACGAGGTTAGAGGTGTCCGTGGTCATACCACTAACAAGCATCTGTGTCAGAATTTGAATCCAGGCGACCTGGCTCGACAGCCCAAGAAATCGTCTCCACTGTCCCCATGAGCACAGTGCTTTGTTTCCACATCGCTTGCCTGACTCGCTCTGTGAGCCAGCCAGAGGTCACGGTAAAGACCATTTCACACCTGATGAGACTAGGTCCAGAAGTCCCCCGAGCTGTGACTAACACTAGGTCTCCCAGCCATTCACTGGGGCTCTAGAGCTCTGTCCTCAATAGAGACTGTGGCCTCTTCTGGAGACATTTAGCGTGTAGCTCCTACATTTGCCCTGCCGCTGTGGAGGGTGGCCACTGCCAGGGCCAGGATCCTGCAGAACACCATCTTCCCACCCAGTCGTACAGTGCTCTTCGGAGGGAAACAGACTCTCACAATGCCTCATTGGACTTGGGGGGGGTCTGTCAGAATGAGCACCTTCTGCAGCAGCTCCCACCGCAGCTGGGGCCAAGAGTACCACCCTGGCATGCCAAGAACTGACTGGGTGCCTTTCAACTTAACTCCCCGGGTCAGGGGATGGAGTGAATGGCTAGTCTTCAAAGCCGTCGAAGCCCCCTCCCCGCCTCCTACCACACCCTTCTTTCTCTTCCCTCACAGGAGTCCACATCGTGCTTTGCTTTAATGAGTGCTCTCACCTGAAATAAAGGAAAGGATTAGCAATGAGTGAACCATTCTCATTTGGTTCATAAGCCTTTCTTTGTCTAGCTGGATGATTTAAGGTACTTGCAGTGAAGTGAAGGGAAATTATAAAATGAATTTCTAAAGGGCCATTTTCGTCTTTACATCATATCATTTGCTAAAAGACTTGCCAGCATTTTAAGTCTATTATCTGCGTGGCTTGGACCCACTCTTGGGACCATCTTGGTCTGGTCTGGGTCCTGGGATGGTCTCCTCTAGAAACCATGGTGGATCCTCAGACGGCGCCCTCCACCCCTCCAAAGAAACGCACTGGGGGCTCTACTTGGGGGAAAACAGACCCACCTGTCTCTGATTCCAATCTTTCCCCCATTCCATACTCTCCCTTCTCCTATGAATGTTACAGATTACAAGGGAGAAGGCAGGTGCAATGGGATGAGCCTTTAGAGGCAGGGGAGTCAGACCTCAACCAAGAAAAACTCCCATTTCTCTCGTGGGTGAGCAGAAGGAGCTTCCAAGAGGGAAAATGTTGGCTGCAGCAGAACTGCCAATAGCATCACTGTGTTTCCACCAGCAGCCTGGGCCCTCCGCTGCAGCCTCCAAAGACACGTGGGTTCCCCCTTTCCCCTCCAGCCCCAGTAAGGAGGAAATAAAGTCTTCTCCTTAACCAGAAAGGCTAACAAACTCAAAAACATTCTCCACAAAATTAAAAGAACAAAATAGAAATAAAGAAAACATAAACCCCATGAAATAATATGGTTCTTAGAGGATCAGATGTTACTTACATATC